ACGAGAAGCTTTCGAAGCGAAGCGGAAGGAGCTTGAAAACCTTTCGCAAAACAAAGCAACTGCTGGCATGTAGCTAGATTGCACTGGGCAGCCTGCGCAAAGCTGTGTAGTTTCAGGATTCCTTATTTATTTAGTCTCTGTGTGTGACACCATGTGACGGTGTCGGTGTGTCATGTTTTGACATGACAGTCACTGACAGTCGGTCGTTGTCTCATGGCCAGTGCAAGGCTTGGTCGAACCAACTTTGCAAAGTGCATCGTTCCAACCGATCCGCCTATCCTGCAGCACTTCAAGCAGCTGAGCAATCTACGCCCCATGAATGTCCTTGCCAAGAGTTCGGCCAGTGATGCTAGTGGTTTCCAGCTCAACCAGGCCGTGATCATTCGGAAGGGGCGTTCCACCTTCCAAACGGTCACAAAGGACTATAAGGAGAAGATCGAAGCCGCCATGAATCAGTTCAAGACAAATTTGTCAGGGCAAACTGATCCTCGATCTGCGAATTTTGGCCGCAGTAGCAGTAGCAGTAACATCGTTCAACACCAAAGGCCCTTAATTAAAGACTACTTTTATCTACTTTCACATGTTGTGTCCCATGTAAACCCAATCCGCTGACATGACGTTGACATGAAACCGAAGTCGGAGGTCGGAGTCGGAGATGAGACATTATGCAGTGTATGTACCTTACCTTTGCCTTCTTGTGTTTTTTGATAGCTTTGCCCAAGACCTGAACAAACAGATCAGATCCGCCTGGTTGGTCCGCCTGCAAGCTGAGGGGTCTATTGAAGGATGATCAGGCTGACGGTGACGCTGGCACATTTGTCAGAGACAAGATGGTCGCTCATCTTCCTGACAACTGGAGGGAGTGTGCAGCCAATCCTATGATGAACTTGAGACCAACATCCAAAGCCACACCGATGGAACAAAGAGGGGCCTTTCAGATTTCAACGGCTTGTGGTTTTTTGGTGCCAAAGAAGGTTCAGTGCACTGCGGTCTGGAGTGTTCTGGGGTGGGCAACATGAAGCTTTGCGCTCTTTGACAGCACCTAGATTAGCTGGCCGGCTGGTCGGTAGTCGCTAGTTGCAATGATTCGATTGTCATAGTCATAGTCACAGTCATAGTAAAATAGTTTCGTCCGTATGATTCATAATGATGAGACTTCAAAGTAACTTCGCTATTTCCTGGCCTGGCCGCCAATTTCTAGGCTTACGGTGGCATGTTGGTGGTTAGCGCCGACATTTCTGAGATGGCCGGATTCTTCGGAGTGAATAGCATTCCCAACTTGCTGGATTCTCTGAAGACGATGGAAATTCAGAATATCCCTGACGCCTTATCACTTCCGTCGCTATCAGCGGGCTACATGAAAGTGGGCGACATGCTGGCCCTACCGATGGGAACACTTGCCATCACGAAGGCAATCAATGGAGATTGTGTTGGGCTGAGGACTGTTGTTCAAAAATTTGTTCATCAATTTCGATCAATATCCCTCCCACCCACCGCATTCTTGTCAGCCGTAGCTTGGAGGGGTAGACTGGGTAGACTGGCAGGGTAGCAAACCTTGAGAGGATTCATTGCTGCACGTTTCCGGAGTCTTCTGTCACAACCTTCAAGGAGCTTGTTTGCGAACAGGCCGGTCGGGCCCCGTCAGGCCGTCACATATGTTTTGGTGAGGCGGTCGCACTATTGTCGGTGAGACATTGGTATTGGCCGGCCGCCTGGCTTCCGGCTACACTGCTCACAGAATTTGTCACAGAATAGTTGTTTATGTATATATATATATAGGCAAATATTTATATATTGTAATGGGTTATATCCTAACCCATCAATCTTTATAATATGACTAAACTTATCGGCATCTTATTGACTTATATATAAATATTTAAGTTCCATTTTTCTGGATTCAGACTCGTGACTGTGACTCGTGTCACTCGGCTAAGACTCAAACAGTTTCATGACTCCGTCTCTCCCTCCGATTGTTGGCAGGTGATGAGTAAGCCCATCATGGAGTACACCCTTGCAGCGATGCCGAAAGTTCAATCGTTCCAGAGCGCTGTCCCCGACGGGGCCGTTGCTGACGATGAACAAGATGAGTTTGAGAAGGAACTACTCGAGGAGCTGGAGGAGCACAAAGCCTTGGAGCAGGCTCGCAACAACTGGGTGAGTGGCAGTTGTCCGTGGGCTCGTAGACTGATGCTGTAGACTTGAGGACAGTGACAGGGTGACTGTGATTCATTTGATGTGGTGCGACTGCGACAGTGATATTATAATATTGGTTTATTATTGGTAAATTACTAATCTATTCTTGCGTGAATATGGTGACTGGTGAGCACTCCTGACTGAATTTGGGGGACCTCTGTGAGGTGCCACCGCCTGGATTTTGGGAACCAACACCGATAGCAACCCCAGTGCCTGGCCAAACCCCAGCAGCAGAAGCAGCACCGGCCTTGACATCAGCAGCAGAAGAAGCAGCAAAAAGCAAAAACAATGACGTGGCATCAGCACAAGAGACAAATCCGGCAGCACAACAGCCAGAAGAGCCACAACACACGGCATCAGCAGCAGCAAAAGGAGCAACAGGTTCAACAGATGGCGATTCTGAGTTTCCGGAGCATTTGAAGAAGTATTGGCCTGATCTAGCTTGTCCAGGTTCCGGCTACACAGTAGCTGAGCTCGAGTGGCTCTACAAGCAACCTCCTGGAACTGTCCTGTGGGACAATCAGCCAACAACGATCGAAGCGGCAGCGCCAAACCAAAGCACGGCACTACAACCAGCAAACAAAGACAAAAAAAGTGAGCCGGCAGCAAAAGCTCCAGAAGCACCACCA